ACTCTTTTTTAATGTACTGTGATTATTTATGATGTTAATGCCTTGTGGGATTGTTTTGTTTTGAGTTGCCTTGTGCTATACAAATAAACCTGCCTTTTACTGTAAGTGCTGTGTAAGCGATTGGTTTGAGTGACGCCTGCTGCTGCATTAGTCCCTCAGACCCACTCTTACCTGTGCTGCATTATTCCTGAACGATAAAGTTTTTATGGACTCGGCTGTTGCCTTAGAGCTCTCTGTTCCCTGTGTTTATGCCGTTTCATAACTCAAACATTCTGTAAAAAAACTTTGATTTGACTGCGCAGGTTGTGTCATCTCAAATCCCTCGTACGAAAGTGTGCTTAAGTTTAATTCTACGTCTCCGATACAAAACGCAAGACCCAGAAACCACACAATCCAAGTTTCTGAAAAGTAATTCTTTATTAATATCTTACAATCCTTTACTCATGGTTATGTTTTTTTAGGTTTTTTTGCCTCCTTTTTGAGCGACATAATTCCATACTGTCCGGCGACAACGGAAAACCCAGCAATACAGAGATTCACATTGGGCTGGTGTCTCCTCGGAAAAGGGAAACGAAGGGTTAAAACAGGACTGTCCCGTGGGATTGGCTACAAAACTCCACCGGCTCCAAAGGCTCAAAAAACGCGTTCCCCATTTCTGACGAAGAACCAAAACACACATGTATCCGACACACACACACACACACACACACACACACATGAGAAATACAAGATGGTGGAAGAGAAGAGAGACAGAAGTGTTGGGGTTTGTCTGGGGATTGTAGAAGGTTGTCCTTGTTGCTGGCGAGACATTTCCTCTGAAAAATACTTCCTGAGAAATAAGGAAACTTCTACCTGGACATGAGCGAGAGGTGAGAGAGACGTGAACGAGAGGTGAGAGAGAGACGTGAACGAGAGGTGAGAGAGACACAGGAGATGATCGAGAAAGGAGATAGACAAAAGAGAGACGAGCAAGATGAGAGAGACCAGCGGGACACAAGAGATGAGAGAGAGAGACGGACAAGAGATGAGCAAGGAACAAGCAAAAGAAGACTGTGGGAAAAAAAACAAAATGGACGCCAAAAAAACTCAAATGTGGCCCACACTGGTTTGTACATTGATTTAAAGTCATATGCATCATTTGTGTCCATTAACAATTATAATGAGACCATTTAGTTTCTCCTTTCAAGTTTCAGAATGAGAAATTATATATTCAGAACAAAATATATGGCATCTATAAAAAGGGTCAAAATTGCTTTCTGCCTTTTTATTTTAACCAAATTTGAAATCTACTGACTGCAAACACAAACAAAAGAACAAGTTAAAAAGTTTCACCAGAAAAATAGCCAAAGCTAAATTATTTAGGGGCAAAAATTTTGTTCCTGATGTGTGTTTGAGACATGGTTAAAAGCTCAAAAAAGGTCGATTTTTGCATAATAGTGTTTAAAAATGTCTTTAGTCCACATTATTCTCCAAAACCACTGGTTCAAATCCGATTGTTAGTTTCTGGTGTAAAAACTATACTTTTATGCCGATGATGTCTTCAAACGGCCGGATTCATTCTTCTAAAACGAAGAACTGTTCAGACAATCTGCCTTTTTGGGCAAGGTACAAAAAAAACCTAAAAAACACTAATTATTAATACTAAAAATAGTAAAACAATATCTTCACAAAAATGAGGTTTATAGAATTCATTGAACTGTAAATCTGTGTTTTCACTCAGTAGTCTTCAAATCAAAGATAATACATGTTTTTCTCCACTTTATGTCCGTCTCAGAGGCAACTTTTAGTCTCTAATTACTTTTTTTTGCTCCCCACACTTCTAGGCAGGACTAGACAGGACTCGGCAGGGCTAGGGCAGGACTAGGGCAGGACTAGAGCAGGAGACAGGATTCTCCCTGAGACTAAACTGGACCTAGACCAAGACATGGCCAGGAGTCGGACCAAGACCCAGGCTAAACTGGACCAAGGCCCAGACCCACACCCAGACAAAACAAAATCAAGACGTAAAACTAAATCTAGACCTAGACCAAAACCAGACCTAGACCAAGACCAGACCCGGATAAAGACCTGTCCTGGACTCGAACCCAGACCAAGATCTGGATCCAGACCAGTGGCCGACCCAGGCCAATACCAAAACTAGATCGAGGCCAGGTCTTATTCAGGTGCAAATGGTTAATTCTTTAGTATTTTAATGTATTTGTATTTTTAATTCCTGTGCATTCGTTTTGTGGATAGAGCTGTGTGAATATTTTAAATGATTTGATTTCTGAAAACTGTATAAAAAGCCAGTTCACTCGAAGCACAACCAGGACGCCGATTCCACATTAAAATATCAATAATGTAACGGAACAACACTCACGCTAAAAGTTTAAACACCAAACAGACCGACAAAGTTTCACCCAGGTAAAAAAAAGACTTTGGAAACTCAAAAAACGCAACAGGAATGTTAAAGATAAGGTACAAAGCAACCACAGCTGATTCTGCTCTGAACGCCGTCAGTATGAGGGAAAACAGAAAGATGAAATGATTCTGATTATTTAACATTTTAACACAAATGTATTCCACAGATGTACTGCATGTGCCAAGTAAGAATGGACCACTAAACCAAGAACAACAGAACATTAGTTTTGGATCGAGTGAACTGGCGATTTTATGCAACGCAACATCAAACCACTTTATCCTGATTTTACAATACTACAATTGTCTTTTCTCTGACAAAACAGGTCACACTATAGAGTGGAGAGAAGGAAGCATGGACGAATGTTGATCCTTTTTGTTTTGAATTTATATAATCTTTAAATGTCGATAAACGAGGCTTAATAAATGGCTAATGAGACAAACACCAAATAGGAGGTTGGAAACACATGTTCTACAGCCTCAGTCCTGGGACTACGGCCTCGGTCCTGGGACTACGGCCTCTGTCCTGGGACTACGGCCTCGGTCCTGGGACTACGGCCTCGGTCCTGGGACTACGGCCTCGGCCCTGGGACTACGGCCTCGGCCCTGGGACTACGGCCTCGGCCCTGGGACTACGGCCTCGGCCCTGGGACTACGGCCTCGGTCCTGGGACTACGGCCTCGGTCCTGGGACTACGGCCTCGGTCCTGGGACTACGGCCTCGGTCCTGGTCTGTCTGGAGACTGCCCACATGCTAACGGACCATCACCATGGCGATCCACACGCTCTCTCACTGCCGCTGCTCAGGGCAATCGAGTGGGCCATTCTTATTTTTAAACAGCAGTGATGACAGCTTCAGGTGAAGAGTCCAGAGATCTGCCTCCTACAGACTGTCATTGAGGAAGACCAGGGGAGAGAGAGGACCAGGGAGAGAGAGAGAGACCAGGAGAGAGAGAGGACCAGGAGAGAGAGAGGACCAGGAGAGAGAGAGACCAGGAGAGAGAGAGAACCAGGAGAGAGAGAGGACCAGGAGAGAGAGGACCAGGAGAGAGAGAGGACCAGAGGAGAGAGAGGACCAGGAGAGAGAGAGGACCAGGAGAGAGAGAGGACCAGGAGAGAGAGAGGACCAGGAGAGAGAGAGGACCAGGAGAGAGAGAGGACCAGGAGAGAGAGAGGACCAGGAGAGAGAGAGGACCAGGGGAGAGAGAGGACCAGGAGAGAGAGAGGACCAGGAGAGAGAGAGGACCAGGAGAGAGAGGACCAGGAGAGAGAGAGGACCAGGAGAGAGAGAGGACCAGGAGAGAGAGCGGACCAGGAGAGAGAGGACCAGGGAAGAGAGACAGACAGAGATGACAAGGTGAAAGAGAGGGGACCAGGATTCTTGGCCAGGATCACAATGCAATTCTGTGATTTTGCTTGGATTTAAAGAAGAAATAATGTCTTATTTTTGGCCATTTACTTTAGATGTGAAACAAAATGTTGAGTATAAATTATTTGGTGAAATAAATGGCTGTAACTCCCTGAGCTGCCACCAGAGGGAGGAGGACAAAGTTAGTTTTTAATAAAATTTTGAAAATTACCAGCCTCAAACAGATACATGAGAATGTGAAATGGCCAAAACTAATTTATTTATTAGCAATACTTTGTTTAAAACACAAAAATGCATTGAGTGTGATGTCAGAGGTGCAATGACATCACACTGGGACAGGACTGAGACTGGAACTTTGAGACACAAGGGGCGGAGCTTCATGGTCCTGATATAAGCGTGGATGGATTTAAACACAACCTCAGGTCTGTGACAGATGAAGAACAATGTGGAGAGAATTTGTTTATATTATAACCAATTTAATAAGGTTGAGTTAATTGGATTGAATCTTATAAATTAGATTTTAGAACTTTTCCTCTTATGTTCTTATATTTCCCTACACATGAAGAGAGAACTTAATCCCTCACTTTTGTTCTACGGGGGTTTGGATCTGAGATTTTGAAATGTTTGACTAATTGTGTTTTAAATATTTGACTGCTTTGGCTCAGTGTCTGTATTTACATTAGACATAAAGATTTTGTTTTAGTGCTTAATGAAATGCGTTAAAAAATCAGGAATTATTTACTTATAAAAGCAAAAATCTCCATTTAATATTCATTGTAAAAATGTAGAGGAAAAAAAAAGGATTTAAAACATCATCATCTGTTGAATACCTGTATAAAAAGTAAAAACATTATCGTAATCAATTATGGGTCACATTTGAGACTCTCTGGCGCCACTGTCTGAACCAGAGCGATGTTAGCTTAGCTGCTAGCTGCCATTTCAGTACTAAACATGGGACTAAACCAGCGTCTTTGGTTCTCATCGGGAAGAACAAAAAACAAAAAGAAATGTATGTTTTTTTTTTAAAGCCAACAGAACGGACAGAGATGGGGCGAGCGCGCGGGAGAAGCCAAAACAAATCCAGTTGAAGTGGGGGAGGGTGGGGGGAGTTTGGGAGCAGCTGTTTAAAAGTGTCTTGTGCTGCTGTAGTGCCCCCCCTGTGTGTGAGCGCCCCCTGGTGGTGCAGCGGTCCAGGCCTGTCCCTCTGTGAGATCGCCCTCTGGTGGTCCCACGGGTCATTGCAGGTCCCTGTCCTCCAAGTAGCGGTACTCGAACGTGAACCCCTCCTTCTTCCTCTGGCCCCATTTCTCGTAGTCGAAGTAGATGTATGTTCCCTGGAAGAAAAAGTCCTGTCAGCGTTGTCGTCATCGGTTACGGGAGATTTCTCTATAGATTTACAAGAAAGAACTGAGACGTATTGACATAACTATTTAACCAATGGAAACGAACGGAGTGCAATGAACATCATTACATCAGACCAAGTATGAGTCTCCCCCACTCTCTCTGGTTTCCCTCCCTCTCTCTCTATCTCTGGTCTGGTCTCCTCCCTCTCCATCTCTGGTCTCCCCATCTCTCTGGTCTCCTCCCTCCCTGGTCTCTCTCGTCTCCTCCCTCCCTGGTCTCTCTGGTCTCCTCCCTCCCTGGTCTCTCTCGTCTCCTCCCTCCCTGGTCTCTCTCGTCTCCTCCCTCCCTGGTCTCTCTCGTCTCCTTCCTCCCTGGTCTCTCTCGTCTCCTCCCTCCCCGGTCTCTCTCGTCTCCTCCCTCCCCGGTCTCTCTCGTCTCCTCCCTCCCTGGTCTCTCTCGTCTCCTTCCTCCCTGGTCTCTCTCGTCTCCTCCCTCCCCGGTCTCTCTCGTCTCCTCCCTCCCTGGTCTCTCTCGTCTCCTCCCTCCCTGGTCTCTCTCGTCTCCTCTCCCTGGTCTCTCTCGTCTCCTCCCTCCCCGGTCTCTCTCGTCTCCTCCCTCCCCGGTCTCTCTCTCTCTCTCTCTGGTCTCTCTCTCTCTCTCTGTCTGGTCTCTCTCTCTCTCTCTCTCTCTCTCTGGTCTCTCTCTCTCTCTCTCTGGTCTCTCTGTTTCTGTGTTACCTGCTCGAACTCGTCGGTGATGGTCTTGGGCTCCTCGTGACGCTGGAACCACATCATGTACTTTGTGTGGAACCTCCAGGACTGCTTCTTCAGGGCTTTGGCTGCCAGATACTGGGCCTTTGTGCCCTGAAGAGGAGACAAGAGGTGTCAGCGAGGTCCAGGCATATACCAACTATACCAGGGGTCGGCAACCCGCGGCTCCGGAGCCGCATGCGGCTCTTGAGTGCTCCTGGAGTGGCTCCTGGAGCCTTTTCAAAAATGTCTGAAAATGGAGTGTGAGGGCTATATTTTATTTCTAGTTTGAATGTGGTTTCTGTAGGAGGAAAAACAATCTTTACGTTTTTAAATGCTGTAAAAATATGTATAAGTAATATTTAATTTCAACATTTCTGTCAACGTAGTGCGTCATATCCTATGACGCGCGGTCACGCGGCCCCGCCCCATGCGGCCGCTGCTGTAAACAAACCGGCGTGTGTGCATCATAGACTGTAAGTGCACATGGATCCCAAAGCTAAAACGAGAAAGAGTCGATAACAAGACTGGACTAAGAATGAGAATGAACATTTTCTTTCAGTCAATGAGGAAGGACTGATTCATGTTTGTAATGAAAAGTTTTGTTGCAACACGAGGAACAATGACGCGCAAAACGACGTAAACGGTGATTACGTGAAGGATTCATTCATCAAAAATTCAGAGCACCTATTTTCATACTTCAAAACCTTCTCAAAGACGGTGAAAGAAAAGGCCATTAAGGATTTTAATTCAGCTCCAGCTAACTTCAGCTTGTGACGTGATGGATATGAGCAGACAGTGATGCAGGTATGTGACCTCTGAGCCCAAAGCAGATTGATTAACTGTATTTCTACAATTGCATGAAGGCAAAAAAATGGAAGTTAAACTAAAGCAGAGTTGTCCCATGTTGCGTCATTCACGACACGCGTGGTGCGACACGCTGCAGTGAAAATACACATTTGATAATCATGAATGATTATTATGTATTTGTAGCCTTTACTTTGTCATTTAGATATTAGGCTAATATAGCTAATACATCTTGCAGCCTGTGTTACCTTCATAAAAGCCTTATACAAGGCTGTTATTTTTTTGCGGCTCCAGACTGATGTTGTTTTTAGTTTTTTTGTCAATTATGGCTCTTTGAACATTTTGCGTTCCCGACCCCTGAACTATACCATGTATACCAACTAGGGCTGGGCGATAAAACGATAACAATATATATCGCGATAGATACGCATTTGATATCAATAGAAAACGGGGTCAATAGAATGTTCGATAGTTTAACTTCACTACGTTAGAAAAAAAACAGGAAGAAAACACAAGTAAAGCAGAGTCAGAAGCGCGCAGCGCGTCCTCGGGAAGCACATGCGGCTAACAGAGAGCTGCACGGAGCCATCACAGGGACACAAGACACTCGAAAACAACCAAAACAGGAGCTAAACCAGGACTAACAATGGGGGACACAGTGTGAACATTTGCCTCCAGCCTCATTCCCCCATGACTGTAAACAAGGCTGCTAATGTGTGTTAGCCCACACGACAAATGTTTATATTTTAGGTTTAAAAAAGAGAAAACAATCTATATATATCGTTATCGACCGATATGAATTACTTATATTGTGACTATACCATATACCAACAAAACCATATACACACTATACCATGTATACCAACTATACTATGTGCAAAGTATACCATATACTAAATATACCATACTATATACTAACTATACAATATACTAACTATGCCAGATACCAACTATACCATATACTAACTATGCCAGATACCAAGTATACCATAACAACCTGTTTAGATAGACATAAAGATGGTTGCATCATGAGCCACTTGCAACTTTAAAGGGGATCAGAAGTGAGATAGCAGAACTCATACTAGAATTTGCAATGTTTCAACTGTTTACAATAATGTGGTTGTGATGTAAAACACATATTATAACATATTATTATTAGTTAATTATCTATAGCCGTTGAGATTAGATCTTGTGTAATGTTGAAAAAAATAACGACCTTCTTCTGGTGGTAGAAGTGGGGAACTACTAGCTGAGATAATGTGTATTCCTCTTGGTCATAGTTTTTCACGCCCCAAAACGTCAATTAGTTTAATAAAGTGGTCATAAGAACACTGAACAAATGTAACGCCACAGTCTCATTGTCACATTTCATGCCCAAAAACACAACACAATACAGAAGACATTAAATGCCTAAGTTTTCAATCTAAATTTTGTAAACTGTTTTTGCATGGTGTGTAATTTTATATTTTGTGTGCTTTATACTGTATTTTAAAGTTTTAAACTACTTGTGCCACGTGGACGCGGCTTCACATCATGGCAGGGATGTGCCAGCGGTCTCCTATGATGATTTTGTTTCTGATTAAAAAAACACGACCACCGTCAACTTTGTTTCTTCTACTGAGGGATGTGCGCTCCCTTAACCGCACTTTGTCTACCGTTGGCAAATGTCATCTTTATTTGCCGATGGTAGTTAACAATGCAAACATCAGATGTTCATACTGATGTTTAACCGATGCATCCCTAATATTTACATTCACTGTCGCAGAGGACCCTGCAGAAGATTAATGCAGACATTTACAGGTCCCCTGGCTAATCCTGTTCTTAGCCATAGGTTGTCAACAATGTATAGAATCATTCTAAATTAAGCGCCTTTGTCTCTGAGGACACTGATGATCCAGGACATTTCTGGACAGTGGTCGTCCCTCTAACTATGGACCAATGGCTTCTATGTGTTTGTTATTATTGCATTTCCTGTGTTTAAACTGTTTGATTCTCTGATCGACTGCTAGAATGGAGGACTACCACGCCCAGTCACTACAGAAGCTCCAGAACATGCACAGACCTCCAGGTAGTAGAAGATGAAGAAGAGAGTCTCTGTGGACAGTCTCTGGTAGAACTCCACGGTGTCGGAGTGCGGTGGCGGCACCTGGTGGTGGAAAGGCAGCGTGGGGCACGGGTTCCTCATCAGGTACTGTCTGTAACACGCACACAAGGACAACATTAGTACTTGAGAAATACAGCAGCAGAGAATGACCTGGTCTCGCTCTCTCTGGTCTCTCTCTCTCCCTCTGGTCTCTCTCTGTTTTAGTGATTCATGCCTCTTTGAGTGATTGAGTTAATTGACCTATATTTAATTCTATTTGTACATGTTTTAGGTGGTAGGGGCAACCGGTAGCCTGACTCTCGCCAGACCCGTGTAGATTGCTGCGCTTATCACATGCGTCTGGGCCTCCTCCATAGCAGTTGGATTTCAGAAGGCGGGGCCTTGTAAAAAAAAAAAAATCCATGTATGTGATTTGATAAACCACTTGTCCGTTATCTTAAATGACATGTTCCTTCAACCATTCACATCCAAGCAAACAACTCCCATGGGTTGTCAAATGCCGGTAAGATTTTCCAACCCAAAACTCGCGAGAATGCCCAAAAAAAATACACCCAGAATGTTTTTTTGGCTAAAAACATAATGTAATCAACTTGGGCTATCATGATTCTGTTTATTGTCTTTCTGTTTAGTCACCCAACATGGCAACCCTGCTGCGTAGTGCAGCAACAGGAACACTTAAACAGTACTTAAACACACTTTCCACTAACATTTGTGTCTTAATTCATTCGTGTTTTTTTTTATCACAGACTTCATGTCTGCCATCTTGGATTGCTTTTGCTGCCTCGTGAGACACGCTTGAGAAGGCGGCACAAACCCGACGATCCTGATTGGTCGATTATTTTCTGATCTGCGGAAGGAGTTTGCTATGCGCTCAATACCAGACCCTTGTGGTTCAGCCAAACGCCTCTGGTGGAGCATGGTGGAACTACAAGAGTCTGGCGAGAGCCAGGCTAGCAACCGGAGCACCTGGAGAAAACTTATGCAGACACAGAGGTGGAAATATTCACACAACCTTCTTGATGTAAAGCACAAGGTCTACCCACTGTGCCGTCGAGATGTTCTCTTCAACACAAAATTTCTGAGGGTTGCTGTTTGTGCATCTTTACGTAGATGATTGTGTGTGATTGTTTTGCTCAAAGGAGAAAAAAAAAATCCACTGAGTTCTAACATCTGGGGTCTGAGTGTAACAGGTCAACTATACCTCCCTCTGGTCTCCCCCCCTCTCACTCTGTGGCCCCCCCTCTCACTCTGTGGCCCCCTCCCTCACTCTGTGGCCCCCTCCCTCACTCTGTGGCCCCCTCCCTCACTCTGTGGCCCCCTCCCTCACTCTGTGGCCTCCTCCCTCACTCTGTGGCCTCCTCCCTCACTCTGTGGCCTCCTCCCTCACTCTGTGGCCTCCTCCCTCACTCTGTGGCCTCCTCCCTCACTCTGTGGCCTCCTCCCTCACTCTGTGGCCTCCTCCCTCACTCTGTGGCCTCCTCCCTCACTCTGTGGCCTCCTCCCTCACTCTGTGGCCTCCTCCCTCACTCTGTGGCCTCCTCCCTCACTCTGTGGCCTCCTCCCTCACTCTGTGGCCTCCTCCCTCACTCTGTGGCCTCCTCCCTCACTCTGTGGCCCTCTCCTCCTCCCTCACTCTGTGGCCTCCTCCCTCACTCTGTGGCCTCCTCCCTCACTCTGTGGCCTCCTCCCTCACTCTGTGGCCTCCTCCCTCACTCTGTGGCCTCCTCCCTCACTCTGTGGCCTCCTCCCTCACTCTGTGGCCTCCTCTCTCACTCTGTGGCCTCCTCTCTCACTCTGTGGCCTCCTCTCTCACTCTGTGGCCTCCTCTCTCACTCTGTGGCCTCCTCCCTCACTCTGTGGCCTCTCTCTCTCTCTCTCTGACCTCTCACTCGCCTCTCACCAAAAACATGCATCGTCTTTACTATTTTAAGTCACAATATTCTAACTTAAGAACAACGTTTGGCCCATGAACCCAACCCTCTCCAGCACTGTATGTAGCATGCGTGCGTCACACAAAAACGCTAAAATATTGATGCTTCTCCTGCTTCCAACACATCCACAAACAACAGGCGACTCGGAACTGTACTGTGGTGACTGCTTTGTGAACTCTTTTGGGGACAGGGCACTAGATTTGGTCTCGTTTATTGACCAGAGAATGATCGATCTCTCACATAGATCAGCACAAAGTTGGAAAGTTCAGTTACAGAGGCACTTTAACACAGTATTTTTAAACAAACCCACACGACCTGCTGTTGCTCGGCTCTCTGGGAGCTTCCAAAATAATGGGATGAAATAGAACTCAGTTAAAGCAAAACGGACTCAGACCCATTGATAAATATACTGAACTTCCTGCCCATCAGACAAATATTTAAGTTAATTTAAGTTATTTCTATGGGGTTAGAGTTTAGTTCTGTTATTCTACAGAGAATACTTCAGCCTCCGGGGGGGGAATAAACCAACGATCAACCCCATCTTCACTGGGCTTTCAGGATCAAAACAAACTCATAATGTTAGTAAACTTCATTGGCTGTGTAATCCAGCTCTAGTCAAACAGTGTTCTGCTGTTGTGTAATGTTGTGCTTCTCTCACACCTGAACTCTAACATAGAGCTGCATTCTGTTCCGCTCTGCTCTCTGCCCACACAGCCACTACTGACATTTACAGCCACACTCTCCAATCCTCTTCTGCTTCAGAGCCTCTGCCTACGAGGCCAGAGCCCGCTGAGACCCAACAACGTTCAGGAGGTCCTTTTCTCTGTTTCAGGAGGTGTCTCTCCTCTGTCCCGGTTCAGGAGGTGTCTCTCCTCTCTCCTGTTTCAAGGAGGTCTCTCTCCTCTCTCCTGTTTCAAGGAGGTGTCTCTCCTCTCTCCTGGTTCAGGAGGTGTCTCTCCTCTCTCCTGGTTCAGGAGGTCCTTCTCTCTTTTTCAGGAGGTCTCTACTCTCTCCTGTTTCAGGAAGTCTCCCTCCTTGTTCAGGTGGCCCCTTTTCTCCGCTCCTCTCCTCTCTCTCCTCGTTCAGGCTAAAACCAGAGCAGTGTGGGATTCTTGGGGAATCCATTGTAATCACTCACTGTGGAGATGTATTGGTTCATTCACTCAGAGATACGTGTGAGCCATAGTTGACCTAGGATCAGCCACTAGGACCAACATCAGCAGAGAATGACCAGAGAGAGACCAGAGAGTGACCAGAGAGAGACCAGAGAGTGACCAGAGAGAGACCAGAGAGTGACCAGAGAGAGAGACCAGAGAAAGAACAGATGGAACTGCTGTGAGTTGACTGAGATGACCGGTGGACTTTCACACTCACAAAAACTGAACCAACTACAACTTGTACATAGGACTTCATCACAGACAAATCTGATCTTGAATCAATAATAATATAATAATTAAAGCCGCAAGCGGCGATGAAAGGCCTCGCCCCTCTTGCGACCGCCTCCTGGGCGCCAATCCCACAAGCGTCACGCCGACGAATTGGCAGCCCGATCTGACCAGGATTACGTATATAAAAGCTCATTTATATGATAAAGTGCGTCCCTAGTGGTCACCTCCGGGACATGCACCCTCTACGTAGAGTAGTATTTTGCTCGTACAGATGTAAAGATTTGATTTTGCAACTTTGGTAAAGATCGGAAAAGTTTAGGTCAGAAGCCTTCCATAGGTGGCGCTGTAGAGTCATGTTAGGTGTGTGTTTTCACACCATTACTCTTAGGCCATTACCAACTGTTAGCGATGTGAGTTTCAGCTCTGTAGGTCTGAGCCTGTGGTCAGGAGAGCATCAAACAACGAGAAATTCCCCGCTATCTCGCATGAAAACGATAGCAAAATGCTAACTTTTATGCGATGATTGCATAACTTCAATCCGTCCAGATGGAGAAATGACATGGTAGAATTATGTGCGATGAAAATCCAGGGACTAGTACGATGCCAAACATGCAACACCTTGAACTGCCTGTAGGTGGCGCTGTTGCACTCACAGCTGTGTGTTGCATATCGTGGTGTTCAGGGTCATACGCTGTATTTCTGAAATCATTTTTAGCCTCATCGGACAAACATTTTGCCCCAAAAAGCTCATTCATTCACTTTCCGGCACCCCCGGTGGTCAGGTGTGGGACTTACAACTTTTGCGTAATGCAATTTTTTGCTCGTCTCGGTCCAGAGACTATACTCAGCAAATTTCGGGCCGATCCGAGCACTAGTGCCCTATTACTTTCCGACAGGTGGCGCTAAAGAGCTCGAATTGGGCGAATGATTTTAGTGTCATTGCGTTCAGGCCATAACCTAATATTACTGATGTGAGTCTCAGCTCTGTAGGTCTGAGCCTGTGGCCCTCAGGGCTCAGCGAAAATGGCCAAAACGAAGGCCTTATTCGCCATGGCGAGGGACGAAAACGGTGAAGATTTTCTAACTTGTGTTTGATGATTATATAACTTCAATCCGTCCAGATTGGGAAATGACGTGGTAGAACTCTGTGTGATGAAAAACCAGGGACTAGTTCGAATTTCTAAATGAAAAGTCAAATTAGTGGCGAAACTTCGGCCCATCATGGCCGACTTCCTGTGGGTCCCAGACATGTGCTTAGACCGGCTTTTATGCTCGTCTCATAGAGATCTATCACTCATCCGAATTTTGTGTACCTACTCCAAAATATGCAATCCTGCCTCCAATAGAAATGGCAAATTTTGAATTTTCAAGGGGGCGCTATTGATTCGCCTTTTGTCGGACAATCTCGAAACGTCCGTTTTATCAAATTTTTCGCCGGACCGGTCGTTTTAGACCCCCCATGTGCAGACTTTCGTGCATGTCTTCAGGGTCAAAAATCGAATTGAAGATGCGGAAAAAAAAGAATAATTAAAGCCGCAAGCGGCGATGAAAGGCCTCGCCACTCTTGCGACCGCCTCCCGGGCGCCAGTCCCACAAGCGTCACGCGGCGTACTTGCCGACGAATTGGCAGCCCGATCTGACCAGGGTTACGTACATAAAAGTTCATTAATATGAAAAAGTGCGTCCCTAGTGGTCACCTCCGGGACATGCACCCCCTACGTAGAGTAGTATTTTGCTCGTACAGATGTCAAGATTTGATTTTGCAACTTTGG